CTGCGCACGAGGAAAGGCAGAGCAGAGCTGGGGGCAGCGGAGGAACCACCGGGGCTGCTCAGAGTTGCCAAACTCGTCTCGGGCCCCTGGGCAGGATCGGCGGCTCCCAGCAGTCACGAGTTCCCTCTGCTCCTTCTCTTGGCACTGCTCACCCCATCCACCTCTCCCTGCAGGCCCACGTGCTCGCTCCTCCCTGCCTCCCGTCCCTGCCGAACGCAGCCTCTGCCCTCCTTCGCAACGCCTGCAGGTGAGGCTCTAAAGAATACAAATACATTAAAAATACACTGTGCCTTTGTCCTGCACCATCACCTAATCCACGGCATTCAGGGAGTGAGGAGCTGTAGAAGAACGAGCGAGCCCTCATGATCTGTCACTGACTGGTAAGACCCATCCCGACGTCAGGATTTTCTGTTCACAGCATCAGCGCGCTGTCTTCCAGCACGTCTGTAACGAGTAGCTCTACACTGGTTGTAAAAGGAAGCACCCCGCCACTCCCATCTGAGAGGAGATGAATCACTCCAAACAGACGGATTTCATCTTAATTCCCTCCCCGTGACTTAAACTATGGAAACAGAGTACAGCGAAACGCCCGCGATGTGCGTCTGCGTTACTGCGTGCGTTAGCTGCCGACCAGAAACGCTCTCCAGGTACGGAGAGCGGAGATTACAGCGCTGCCTTTTACCATGTGCCAGTCCTCCTTCTGGGTAGCTGGTTATCTGAAATGCCTTTAGAGCGGAATTCAGAGCAGGGTAACAGCCTCGCTTTGCTCACCCACCAGGAAAATATGCACTAGGGGAAGATTTCCATAACGGGACTTTGCAATTCTTTCCCCCCCCCCATCTCAACCGGCCATAAAGATAATTTAAGAGGTCGCTGGGAGCTTCATTACTACCTAAAGCACCGAAAGCCTTGATCACCTACACCCTGTTCACGCCGAGCCCTGACGGACACACACTTGGCAAATGCAAACCCACGAACAGATTGTAACGCCTGGCTATCACCAGTACCTTTACTGCACTTCTGCAGAAGGCTTTAGGCATTTTAAGGAACTCAGCCTGCACTAAGGAGAAGATCCTTCTAAACCAGAGTTCAGTGCTTTGGAAAAAACAGACAGAGGAGACAAACTGCTCACCTGAATTCATTCAGGGCATCCACAATTCTGTTATAAGCCAAACTCCGCTGACTGGCATCAGCTGATCTCCGACTCATTTTCATAGCCTTGAAAACAAATCATTAAACAGATAAGTAACACATCGCTACAGAAGCACAGCAAATGGAAAACAAAGTCATGTGTTTGACTTTATCTTTCATGCAACTAGTCATGTAAATAGGGGTTTTTTCAAGTAATAAAACGATGGTACAAGTGCCAACTCTGGTATCTGAGGAAAGAGAGGTGAGGCACATGCGTTCGCAGCCTCTGCTTCTTCTGTGCTTTTCATCACTCAAGGCACAAAAGGGGTCCAAGTTTCACTGCAGTGGCAAAGTAACCACCAAGTGTTTTCTAGAAGAGAGATTTGAAGCAAATCTAACGGCACATTCGAAACGTCGATCTTGGAAAATTTCCTACACAGCAGAATCAGGGGGTTAAAAGGAAAAAGAAAAGCAGCCCGGTATTTATTTACAGCCTGGAATAGCCTAGGGATGGGTTCTGACCCCGCCACCCACTGGACTCGGATGCAGCTGATGCAGGGAGGGAGAGCTGCCCCCGGAAAAGCACCTTCCCCCCGGCCGCTCCAGGGCTTGCTGGGAGCTTACAGTGACTGTTCCCGCTCCCAGCAAGCCCTGGAGCGGAGTGCAGCACGCGCTGCCCTCGCCCCTTGCTGTGCTTTTGCTAGCAGTAAGAAACATCATCAAAGATGCTGTGGAGCAAAGCTCTTCTCTGGTGCGATTCCAACACCCAACAGCACGCTGATCCCTCTTTTGTAAACCAGTAACAGGAGTGAGGAATTCAATCTGACAGGGCTGGGGGGAACATACAGCAATACAAGAGCGAGAAATGAAAGAGACTGTGTTTACCTGTTCTATTGCACTCTTCAGTTTGTTCATGTGACTCTCAAAAAGAGGAAAGTGCGAGAAGAAGAACTCATTGAATTTGTTGTTTTCATCTTCATCCCTCGAGAGTGAAAAAATAACTCCAATTGCTATCTTCTTCTTCCTAACGATTCCCGGGCTTGGACCAGAGCTGTCGTCTGACAAGTTAAAGCTCTCATCCATGGACCTTGAGGCACGAAAAAATAGGAAGTTAATGTAACCCACTGCTTCAAGTTGTACCTTGGTTCCTGTGTAACTCAATTCTTACACATTTAATGTCAATAAACACCTTTTGTTTCAAAAGGTCACCTTTGATAACACCCACTTTGCAATTTTTTGACAAGCAACCATTAATTGATTCTGCGATCACAAAAGCTGGAACCAGATTCAAAGTGTTTGTGGGATCAGAATCCGGTATTCTAGTTCTCTCCCATCTCTGCCACGAATTTGTGTTTTGAGTAGGATTTTAGGGCTTCTTATCCTCAAAAGTACAGCCTACAGGTTTACATTTGGCTGAAGGCTTTCTAGTTAGTGCAAAACAATGACTTTCAGGAAGAAAACGGATACTAAAAAAGACCAGGCAGCCTGACTTACACCTCTGTAAACACCCCACAAGAGAACAAGAGCAGATGTACATATGCGAGAGCAGAATCAAGCCGACAACGGCGGAAAACGTATGGGCAGCAACCAGCACTTCCATTCCCCGCTCACCATCGAGGGAAGACCCCGTTCTCCAAGCTGGTAGTCTGACTGCGACGCCAACGCCGCTGGTAACTGCTAGCACAGCTTTTGTTAAACGAAGAGCCCGGAGATGGAAACGGAGTGATGAGCAGACTGCTAAGAGATGCTGCAATAATAAGAGGAATAAATAAAAATCTCTGCAGAAGAAAGAGCATTTGGAAATTAATATCAGAAACTGAACGAAGGCCCTCAAGAGAAACTGGTGTTGCTTCTCAAGTGCCTTCTCTTTGCTTATCTATGCTTCTTATCTAAAAATAAACAGCTTATAACAACAGTAACCAGATATGCAAGCACCAGGAGGGTGGGACAGTCCTGCAGCTTTACATCACAGGCAACACACAGGCTGCACCTTGCTCATGAACCCCGAGCAACGGGAAATAAATTCTCTGTGGAAAGGAGTAACGTGAATCACACCCTTTAACAGCCTTTGGGATCCCAAGTGCCCAATATCCTGAATGTGGGGGGAGGAGAGGGGCGTTGTGGGGGCGAATTCACATCTTAACGTTACCATACGCCTCAATTTGGAAAGGAGTTGACAAGTATAGTTTAGAAATGCTGCAAACTCATCCCAATATTTAATTTGGCTTGCTTATTTGCAGCAGGCTTTAACAAACCATGCTGCTCTTCAGGTTGCCTGCGAGGTTCCTAACGCAGTACCCTCGACGCCTACGTTTGTACGTATACAGACAGGCATGCATTAATGCTTATATCTAACAAACCAATCGTATTTCAGCCCAGGAAAAACTATGTGATGATGCCTAGATGGCTCAGTGACTAATATTAATGAATATTTTTGGGAGTCCACAGGGTTAACGCATGGAAGTGACATTACCAGATCTCGCTATACCGCTGTCTCTGTCCTCGTTCTGCTCCCTCCCAGGCATATCCATAGGGTTGCTATGAACTGTAAAACAAGGAATACCAATTAGCAGGGGAATATACAGTTCCTTTCTTGTTTGCAGATCTCCATGTAATTAATGAAACAAAAACATGCTCATTAATTCAGATGAACAGCACTGCACAAGGCCATCACCAAAGAAAGGCTGCTTAGCTGAACAAGCCAAAACACACAGCTGAAAAGCTTCTATGTGTTTTTTCCTGAAGTCCATACACCTATTTTAGTATGGAATAGGACTTTTTGTTTCTTGATATGGATATTTTTCAATGAAATTTTAACGTATCAAAAGGATGTTGCTCATGTTCATAGTACTCAATGTCCAGACAAAAAACCCCATCAACAAGCTACATAAACATGAATTCATTCTAATACCAGCTTTATCTGGTATCATATACAATTCTAAAAGGATTTTACAATGCTTTCTTGAAGAAAATAAATACTTTTAAATTGTGAGCAGTGCACTGGTTGTTCAACTAAGCGGTAAGCTGTCCAGATTCACAGTCTGCATATACACAAGATCAAAAGTGTCTCAGGCTCAATAGTCAAATGCGATACATTTCACAAACGTGTGTGTGAAATAAAAGCTACTCAGCCATGGAAATAAGACCCAGCCACTAAAAGCAAGAAATGCCCATTGTAAATGAAGCTAGGTTATCTTTAGTTCTTAGGGTTTGGTTGAAACAAGTCCAGATCAAAACAGCTTGACACTGCTGTGAAAGATTATTTCCAGAAATATGAGATCTACCATGAAATATATGTTTCCAAACCAACACAACCAACCCAAAAAAGGACTATTAAAATGCCTGCTGTCCTCTGGGGATTTAAAGCACGTATCCAAAAAGGTAAGAGAGCAGACACCACTGACCATTCTGCATTTAAAAACAGATAAAAATCTTATTTCCAGGGCTAAACTACAGATGCGCAGAGTTTTGTCACGCCAGCTAGACTAGCCACACCACACAGCACACTGCAAACCTGCAAAGAAAGAGGCGCTCCGGATGAGGCGGAGCGGACCTTGCTCTGAGAATGCCCGCCTGGGGCTGCAAAGCTGGGAAAGACCTACACGGCAAAACGTAAAATACACATGAAAGAACGAGGTTAGTAAAGCAGAACAGTCCGTAGGGAGGGGGCCAGGGCAGGGAGAAGGTATAAGCCAACATCAACGCAGACTAACGTAGGCAGGAGACCAGCTCTTAGGCTTAACAAGAACGTCGATTCAAGGACACAGCTCACAGTTGGACTATATAGTATTTATAGAATTAAATAATAGGCCCAGCTTTACACTGTCTCCCACACAAGGATGGGGTTTCTCTCCAATAGGTTTTTTTTTTTAGCTGAAAAATGATTAATTTATGCAGGCTGAAAGCCTGACTTGATTACAAACAGGAGATTCATGGTGGAGTACAATGTTTGTTTTAACATCCACACGGGTGGGGTGGCCGAGGAACGCTGTTGCTGAAGACGATGGGGAGAGAGAGGGAAATGGCAGGCAGGAATTCATCCCAGTGGAACCAACAGAAAACTACAGGCTGAAACAGTTGTTCTGAGAACAGTCAGTACATCAGTTGAGTGACACGATCATAGAGAAAATAAACGTTAGCAGTCATCGTCGGTTTTAAAGATAACACTGGATTGTAGATATGCCAGGGAAGAGTGTATTTACTGTACACGGAGCCAGGAAAAATGCATGGGTTTTCTTAATGAGTTAATCATAGAATCACAGTCTGGTTTGGGTGGGAAAGGACCTTAAACCCCTACCCAGTCCCACCCCCTTCCATGGGCAGGGACACCTTCCACTAGACCAGGTTGCTCCAAGCCTCATCCAGCCTGGCCTTGGACACTTCCAGGGATGGGGCATCCACAGCTTCTGTGGGCAACCTGTCCCAGTGCCTCCCCACCCTCTCCGGGAAGAGTTTATTGCCAAACCCTCTCCTAAATCTGAAGCTACTGCACTCTCAAAGTTTCTGGTTACAGAGAACAGGAAGCTGCACTGCAGCAAAGCTCCCTTCCATCCTCTTACGGCTTCACTCACTACAGGAAAGGACATGACCAGTGCTGCTTCCCCCTCCCCGCTTTTAACCAGCATATCTGATAGCAGTTTGTAAATAGCTCCCAACCAAAACACATAGACCCTTCTACCACAGGCTGGCAGGAGCCAGTGACTCAGGAGGAGTCTTCACTGCTGAACAGGGCTGTTAGAAAAGCTGCAGTTACAGATTAACTTCTTTACCCACTTTACCCAGGGTTCCCTCCGCGCTGAAACTGTAAACAAACAGTCAAACCCACTGAAAACACGGGCAGCTCGATTGCAGGGGAAGCCTCAGCACCCTCTCCTAGGCGGCGACGCACACCCTGGCACCGAGGTGCCGGCACCTCCCGGGGCACCTCTCCTTTCTGCTCCCTGGGAAGTCACCATCACTACAGAGCCAGACACAGGTGAACGTGTGGCACTGCCTACACCTAAATCATATGGACTCCACGCCCAATAGTAGTATTATCTGGGTCTGAACCTGCAGATTAGGTCACGCTGGCATTACAGCAAGCTCTTGCCAAGCGCAAACCACAACAAAACCCTAAAAGCAGATGAAGCGAGTTCCTCCCGCTTAGATCAGGCACCTCACTCACTCGTGTGAAAACACACCGTTGAAGTCTGAAAGAATACTAAATATTAAGGAAAACGCATCTTTTTAACTTAGCATATTCAGGAAGCATTTAATAGATAATAGGTTCTTACAACTTTAAGTGGCTTCACTTATAAATAGACTGTTGGGAATGATTTTAATGAGGTATAAATGCTTTTCAGGCTCAGAAGCTGTAAGTCCATGTTTAGGTGTAGCTTTATCAAAGTAAGTGGGAAGGAAAGAAGTAAACACACTCAGTAAGAATTAGGACTGTGTCAAAGCGAGAAATCCAGCAAGAAATCAAATTCACTCCTGATTTCCAACCCTGTGAAAGTGTACTTTAAATGCAGCAATATTCTGGAAAGCAAATGTAAAATGAAGCACCTTATTCCACCCACTAAGACAGACGTTTGCCTGGAGAATCCACTATGTAAACCAAGGGAAAGGGAGGATGTGCTGAAGAGCTCATCAGGCTGCTGTACTGGACAACCGAGCCCTAAAGCACAGTGTCTTCACTATCAGCTCCATCCTTCCTGCAGGGAAAAGACCTTCCCCTCCTTCTGTAATCTAATGTTCACAGAGCCTTCACCCACAGCCCTTCCACGAAGGCTGAGAACCAGATGCCAGATGGCTTTCCAAGACTGTTTAGCTTCCACGGTCAGACAGGGAGAGGAGAGAGCCAGAAGATACTCAGTCTCATCTGATCACCAACTCCAGCAACACCGTGCAAGGTTAACTGAGACCAGTACGAAACAGGCGGCCACATGGGCTCAGGTGGCCAGAGTACAGAACAGAATGAAAATTATTAACGAGAATCAGACTGGGGAACTGAGCAGGCAGAACCCATCCTGCCTGATCCGAGACAGGCTGCTCAGGAAGCCATACAGATCGCCACTTTCCACATTTCTGTATCTGAACTGAAGTACACCTATTTCTATCATGTACTCTGCATACAGCTCTGCATACAGCTGTATGCACTGAACTACTGCTGATTCCTCAAACTGACCCGTTTATTCTCCCCCAAACCTCACCAACATTCATTTTCTGCTATGCCGTTAGCTTTCTTTTTTTAGAAATTTGGTTCTATTTAGAAGACTTTTGTATTTTAGAATCTATGATTACTCAGTTACAGACACCAGGAAATAAAATCTGTTTGTAATTACCTATATTCCCAAGAAGTCCGTTCATAATCGTACTGTGGTCAGGCTTTAAGGTATTGCTGTCTTGATTAATGAACTCAAGACTGTCCTGCAACCTATAACAAACACAAAACATAAAACAAAAACAGTGATTTGTATTTGAGTAGAATAGAGTTACTTCACTGTAGCCTGAATGGAACAGACGAGGTAAGAACACAGGCTTCCACTAGAAAAAGCTTTCATAGCCTCAGACACGTCCTCAGTGGGTCCATTAATGCACAGAAAACTGAACAGTCAACCCTCCAAAGGCAGATGTTTTTGTAACACCTTTTACTCCATCTCAGACTGTACTCAGAGCTCCAGCGTTCTGTCCTCCTCCCTCCCCCTTTGGTGGCTGCAGGTACTTTTGTACCACAGGGCATCAAGCTTCACCACATCGGCATTAAAGGAACGGTTCATTCACTCGCTTAAAGCAAAGCCAGGTGAGGAGAACCACAAGGGAAAGGCGAGGACACTGGTGACAGGATGGAGCAGATCAGGGAACAAGAAGTTATCTTTATGGAGAAATAATCTGGAGGGTCCAAAAAAGAGTCTTCTGCATTCTGACATTCATCTGCTTACGTGCACCAGATACAATTTGTAACAGACTCACGTATTCAGGCTTCCGTAGATGCTGCTTCCTGTGCGAGCTGTGAAAACCTTGCTGAGCATGAGCTGAGGAGGTGAGCTGGAGGACAGAACGGAAGATGTCAGTCAGAAACACAGTGCCAAGACAGGCTTTGCTTTCCATTTCACAACCCTCCAGATCTTGCAGACCTAAACACAGCAGCCTTTTGTGTCAAACGTGACACCAGAATAACTTCAAGACAAACCCAAAAGCTCCTTTTACTCTGCACTTGTAGCATTCAACTCAGTACTTATTAGCACTAAGGAGTAAGTCTTCCGAAAGGAAAAAGTCTACACCAAAAATTAATCTTACCGGATCTGGTGAATTTTCAGTGTGGAGCCCTTGTAGCTCATGGCCACAGAGCCAAACATCATCTCTCCAAGCATGTTAGCATCTGAGGAGCACCGAGAACCCTGCAAAAAAACCCCACCAACATTTTTTTAACGCATTTTAAAAGCACACTTCTATTAAGGCAACATAGAGCAAAGGAAAACCTTCGTTATTTAAACAGCAAAATGCCTTGTTTTAACAGCGCTGAACAGGCCAAGTGGCACAGTTCAATACCGATAATGCTCGTGCAGAATGTGATCTTCGCGCTGGCTGTGAGTTAAACCGCTAAAATCACCCAGCAAACCCAACCTGCGTACAGAGGGTGAGGGGAAGGAGACTCAAACTGCGCTGAGTCAGGGGACTACGAAGTTTTAAGAGCGCGCCAACACTCTTCACTGAAGAAGAGCCATAAGGCATAAACTGTGTGTCTGCTCAAGAAGGAGAATCACAAGCTCACTGGAGATCTCAGACACTGCGCTGGAGCCAAGCCGGATTTTCCTGACCAAGACCGATTCACAGCTTATCCATGGATGGGATTTTATATTTGATGCCTCTTTCCACAGCAAAGAGCTGCAGCATCATGATGCCAGGCTTAAGTTGTGCAATTCCCGCTTCTCAGCTGGCGAGAGCTTGCTGCAAGGCACACTGGCTAAACACACAGGAGGAACGTCGCTGTGCCGCACCACAGCCTCGATCACACGCTGCAAACCAAACCCTAAAATTAAAACGTTACTCAGGGCAATCAACTGGAGACGACTGCTCAGCTGACAGTCATCTTATTTGTGTGCCTTCAATGCCGAGATTACTGTCCCTTCATCCAGGGCTGGTTCTTCTCTAGGCAAGCCATGCTAGTTCTGGCTCTCCATTTGTGCCTTGCCCTGAATAATTTAGAATAGCGTGATCGCTCACTCCCAGAGCTCGGGCAGTCCATAGGTGTGGTACTTTGGTACTGTGCAAGAAAGTAATCATTCACCTCAAAGGAAATGTATTGCTAACACATCCTTGGAGTAATCCTTCCAAAAAAATGGTCCCTAAAACCAGTCACAAAAATAACCTTGTGTTTGGAAAATGCAAAGTGCCATTTCGGGCCTACAAGGAAGCTGGGGGGGACTTTTTACAAGGGTCTGTAGTGACAGGACAAGGGGTAATGGCTTTAAATTGAAAGTGGGAGGGTTTAGATTAGATATCAGGAAGGAATTCTTCCCGCAGAGGGTGGGGAGGCACTGGAAGAGGTTGCCCAGAGAAGCTGTGGATGCCCCATCCCTGGAAGTGTCCAAGGCCAGGCTGGATGAGGCTTGGAGCAACCTGGTCTAGTGGAAGGTGTCCCTGCCCATGGCAGGGGGGTTGGAACTAGATGGTCTTTAAGGTCCCTTCCAACCCAAACCATTCTGTGATTTCTCTGTATCCCTTACCCAAGCTCTGAACAACCAAGATGCTCACCTGGATTCCTACGCAGGTTTGGAATATAAATATTTTGCCTAGCGTCAGACAGTGAGCTCAGAGCACAACCAAGGACAGGGTGTCCATGCCACAGATTCCTCCGGGCAGCAAGGAGAGACACGAAAACGGCCACTTGACTTCTGTGCTGACGCTAGCCCGCAGAACGAGGGCAGGAACACGGAAATGCTCAGCCGCCAGAAAGCAACACACTTCTACCACTTCTCAATTTTTAGCTCTTCTCAAGCACTCTCAATTAAGACGATGATACTTTAACAGACACACCATTAACCTCTGAGAGCTGCTGTCAGTGCAGGAAAGACAGGGGATGACTAAAAGCGGCAACTACAGTTGTAAAAACGAGGATACGATGGCGAGGTTGGCTGGTGTTCCTGCGACAGGGCAAAACGTGATCGCCACCCGGGCCTCAGAGAAATTTCCATCTCTACCTCCCGGGGTATCACGCTGCCTGGGCGCACCGTCGGCAGTACTGGAAAAACCAGACTTTAAAGTCAGCCAGTATGACCCAGCAGCTCCAAGGAAATACAAGCATGAATGTTAATGGCTCTAGGAAATGACAGGTCTGCCAGCATCACGAAAACCTGCAGGAAGAACACTGCAAATTACCACAGCCAAATGCAATGATTATTATTTTTGAATCTGTTGCAAATCTCCATTCTGAGTAAATGTCAAGCCCTTGATGATTGGTTTTGGTTTCAAGTTTTTACTGTGAACATCTAATTCTAAAGCTGAGGAAAAATACTTTAAGATAAATTACTGATTTTCCTTGTCAAGCAACCAAATTTAAAAAAAAAAAAGCAAGTGAAAATCAGCTGCTTTCAAATTTAATTATAGGGGTTTCCCTTTCCTCTGAAAGACAGAGAGAAGCAATGCTGAAGGCAAAGAGCATGGGAAGATGCACCCAGGGCCTGTTTCTGCCTGGCATTTCACCTACATTCAGCAACCCTCATTTTACCACGCCTAACAGAGGATGCATGCATTTAGCATGGAAACACTGCCACAGCTCAACTCTTTGGGCCTTTAACGCTCTAAAAGAAAGGTCACTCAAGACCAAAGTAGAGTGCAATCAACTGAGGAAAGGGGTTAAATATTAAAAACTCAAAAAATAGCCACAGAGCATCTGGCAAAAAGGGCACAACCTCTGGCACTGACAGCTTGGACACAAACCAATTCCCTAGGTCATATTTACAAGCTCACATAAAAACTGATCATAAAAATAGTCACAAGTGTTTGTTATTGCACATTAGCATATAGGAGGTAGTCATTTGGAAATGACATTTTTGAATATGTCATTTAATATTCCATTTAATATTCCACTTACTGGACATACTGTCCTATAGATAACTAAGTACAGGTGAAAATTAAAAATACAGCACAGAAACAAATGTCCAATGTCGTGATCAGCAAAAGACTTTCAGTCCTGACCACGCTGATAAGCGGGTACAGAGGCCACACTAGTGTCATAACGTGAAAATGAACGTGGGCAGGCTTAGAACCATATTCAGCTTCATCTTAGTGGTTTCTGATCACATCTGTGAGGGATCTGGCTAGGATGTAATTAAAAATATAGAAGCCTGGAAACAAACCCCTGTATTTCACCTGCTAATTAAAGTTGCTCATACATAGTCAAAGTGTATTTAAACAAGGAAATATATTTACAAAGTCCTATAGCATTGTATTATTTGGAATTCCATTTTATAGCTTAAAAAAAAAAAACCCCAAAGACAAGAGACTTCTAAACACTGCAGATAAACAAAGTAACTCCTGAGGTTAGACTGAGCAGTTAGAAGATGGGAAGCGCCAGGGCGAGTGGTGTCTGGACAAAGTCACGCTGGCCCTGCCGCGTACATGACGGCACATTTTACTGTGCAGTGCAGAACTCGGGTATTTACGGCTGGCCGCTCGCTCACTGGGGAAGCCCGGAAGGAGTTTGGGGAACACAGGAGATAGTTTACAACAAACTTGCAACAAATACGCTGTGGAAGAGCATGGAAGGGCGGCTTAACCGGGACGTTTCTCGCATACTTTCTGAGCCAGTCACAGAGCCTTTCAGCTCGAGTCAGTCGAGTCCGGCTAAGTGATACGTGTGAGGAAACGGGGACTTTAAAGGGAAAACTTTCCACAGCTTTAAAACACACTGTCATGCCAACCACTAATATGAATTTCCTTTAGTAACGCTGACCATTGTTCGCATGGAGCCTGCTCAGTAGGAGAGAGAAGCATACTTTCTGAGCCAGTCACAGAGCCTTTCAGCTCGAGTCAGTCGAGTCCGGCTAAGTGATACGTGTGAGGAAACGGGGACTTTAAAGGGAAAACTTTCCACAGCTTTAAAACACACTGTCATGCCAACCACTAATATGAATTTCCTTTAGTAACGCTGACCATTGTTCGCATGGAGCCTGCTCAGTAGGAGAGAGAATTTCTGGATGGTGGGGGCATCGTTTTTCTTGGTGACACAATGCGCAAAGGAGGTTATTCTGTGTTGGAAGGAAGCTGCTGACAGAAATGTCTCTCCCTTTCGTAACCGCAGCTAAATGCCCTTCCAGAAAGGGAGGAATGGAAAACAGAACTTCAGCCACCTTACTAAATCTGTGGAAAAGAGTGTGATGAGGAAGAGCAAACAAGAAGGCGCAGCTCGCCAAACAGAGCGAGAAGTAACCCGAGAGCGGGACAGGCAGCGCTGAAAGGTTCTTCTGGAGTAAGACGTCCGTAGTACTGTACGTCAGAACACGCTGTGGAGATAGCAGCTTCCCTCAAACACACAATTACTTCATTACAAAGAGTGGAAGGGCTTAGTTCTATTTTAAGGTGGCTTAATATAAAACACTTGTGATCCATGGAAGGAGAGATGACAGAAATATATCCGTGTCAGATGACTCTAGCTACTCTCCTGGCCAAAATCTCTTACGTAAAACGTAACTCAAATGCACTGAATCCCCTGTTACAAAGCTGTTACACAGCCTATCCCCCTACAGACTGTATGTTTCTCCGTTATTTCCCTGGCATTTAGCAACACAGTAAGATAAGCTACCTCAGCTATACCAAGATATTTGTGCCAGGTCTGATCACACTGAACACGTGTCATCACCCAGCTCCTAACACAGAACAATTGCCCTGGAGAGACTGCTGCCACTCACGACAGATCCCGAGAGAACCAGCTGCTTGGTTTTAGACTTGTTCCAACCCAAAGCTACAGACTTAAAACATTCCTGAGTCAGAGCGAAAGTCTGCCTTTGACTGAAAACCGCTCTCCACCGACAGCCTCTCATTTCAAGCATTTAAAAACATTCAGTACCTCACCTGCCTTTAGTATTTAACATGGGCTGTGCAAAAAAAAAAAAAAAAAAAGAGTGACTCACCTGGTATTTTGGGCATTGTTCTTTTGCATCAGAGAATGAGGAGGATGAATTGATTGAACTATCCAAGGAAGAAGAGCTGTCTCCTCCGGGTTTCAGTTGGCAACATTTCCCAAAAACTCTCACCTGAGCGTCGCTGCAGAGTTTCTGAAATACAGACAACACAGGCGCCACGCTAAGACCCACAGCCTGCAATCACTGTTCAGCAGCATGGTACTTACCCGTTTAGGTAAGACATTCAACAGCTGAAGGGCTTATGCCCAGGAAACCAGGTAACAGTATTTATGCGTGTCTCTCGCAGCCTGGCTGCAGGAAAGAAAGCTGAGCTGGTTTACTTCCAATCAGCCAGGAGCTAACAGGTCGCTCCCACTCCATTTTCCTAAGTAGTCATCCATCTCCAACGCTTCAGAAATGACTTTTTTAGACCCAAGATAAAGAGGAAGGACGGTCTCAAAGTGCTCAAAGGAAGGATGGCCACAAGAGGCTCCAGCTGTCTTCACCTTGCCCCCGTGCCCAGGGGACAGAGGTGATGATGGGCATGGACATCGTCGGTGATGCCGGCCCGATCACGACGTACAGGGAAACACACCGATTAGGAATAATCGAGCAACAACATCACAGAATTCAAGAGAGAGAGAAGATACTGATTTTTATAGAGCTCTCCCTAGCTGTATCTAAACCCCCTAGTTTTATTAAAGAGCGGCACAGACGTGACAATCTTCCTCTTGTTTTCAGTATGAGGGAATTAAGAGTCTGAAAACAGACAAAGCTGCAAAGCAGAGCCAGTGTTACAGAGAAGGCAGAAAAGTTTCACAGAACGATGGAGAAATGGTCCAAGGGGTGATTTCTGACAGAGATTCAGACAGAAAGCATAGCAGAAGAGGGAGCTGGGAGGGCTCAGACGCAGCTGGAGCTGACAGAGGATGGGTAGGCTCCGCGCCCGCTCTACACCGGCACTATTATCAATCCCCACACGGGAGACGCTCCACTGCTGTTTCCTTCACTGTTTATAAACATTTGTGATTTCCCCTGCGAATCTCAACATCCCAAGTGGAATCAGCACCTACGTTATTAGTGCCACGTACTCTGGCATTAGGCAACCCCCTGCACCTGACGATCTCAGCCCGTTTTTCATACACTCATTACACTTCAGCATACCCACGGAGGGCTGGCATTGTTTACGTTCGGTAGTGGGCAGCACCAGGAGACAGAAATAGCCTGCCCTGCTCAAAGCTACATGCGAACTCTGCCCTACGGCTTTCTTAATTAACATTTCCTATAAACCGCCAAACCAGTAAGAGCAAGCTGGACGCAAAGCCTACAGTTAGCAAGGTTCAAGGGACAGATGGAAACACAGAAGTGCTGTTCTGTGTCACAGCTTCACCTCTGGACTCACAGGTCTGTAGCACAAGCTCCCCTTTCGCTGGAAAACATAAGTACATCTCAATATTTACAGCTATGAAAAAAGGAATTGACATGTGCTGTGCACTGATGAGGCTGCACCTTGAATCCTGGGGTCAGTTTGGGCCCCTCCCTCCAATAAAGACACTGAGGGGCTGGACCATGTCCGGAGAAGGGAACAGAGCCGGGGAAGGGGCTGGAGCACAATTCCTGTGAGGAGCAGCTGAGGGAGCTGGGAGGTTCAGCCTGGAGAAGAGGGGGCTCAGGGGAGACCTTATCACTCTCCACAACTCCCTGAAAGGAGGGTGCAGAGAGGGGGGGTCAGTCTCTTTTCCCAAGCGATGGGACAAGAGGAAACAGCCTCAAGTTGCACCATGGGAGGTTTAGGTTGGATATTAGAGAAAATGCCTTCCCAGAAAGGGCTGTCAGGGACTGGAAGGGGCTGCCCAGGGAGGGGGGAGTCACCACCCTGTGAAAGGTTTAAGAGCCATGTGGGCGAGGTGCTCAGGGACAGGGGTCAGTGGTGGTATCAGCAGTGCTGGGGTAACGGTTGGACTGGATGGTCTTAAAGGTCTTTTCCAACCTAAAGATTCTGTGACATACTCAAGGCACAGGGTGGTAACTTCATGACCCGGCTCAATAATCAGCAATAACTGTACAAAAAGACCACTGTCCTTACTGCTGTGGAGGGACTTTGATGAGGGACAAGGTGGGAATCCCATGACACCACCCTAGGCTGTGCAGGACACTTTTCTGTGGGGTTTTTTTTTTTTTGCTAAATCTCACCCCTGGTTAGGGACAGGTGACTTTATTTGGCCCTAACTGTAGGTGAGACTTAGCAAAACAGCAGGAAACGTCAGGGATTACTGAGCTCCATGCGGCAGTCTGCACTGCTGCTCCCATTAGAGCTGCTGCCACAGAAAGCCTTAAGGAAAAATGTGCAGCCAAATCAGTAATTCTGTGGCAGAGGGGAAGGAACCGGTCACTAGCGCCGAGTGCTGTGCTCTGCTGACATGCACAGCCGCCCATAGTAGCATCCTCTCCTTACGACATCGTGGCGAGCACACTGAATTCATGCAAAACGTAGATCTGCTAACGGCGAGTACGTGTGGCTTGAGCACAGTACACAATGGCTGGAGCATGTGAATGATCATCATATGACTTCAGTAGGAACTCGTGAACCAGAATTGCATTTTATCTCTGACACAAACAACAATGTCCTAGGCTAGGCAAGCATCATGTGATAAAACCACATAAAATCCACAGGGTTACAAGCAGCTTTTGCAGGCAAACCACATTTCAGCTTGCATTTTCCATCAGATGTCGAAAGTTCCTTCTAAAAAGTTACAACTATAACTAAGCTTCCTTGAGACTGTAAAGCCAGTAAGTGCATTTCTGCAGGTGAAAAAAAAAAAACCCACAAAAACACACTTCTGTGCATTAAAAAAACCAGACTAAATTTGCAAATTACTTACTGTTAAATGATTTCTTCTTGTTATCATTGCATTTTTCTGCACAGTAACTTTCCCCAAATCCACTGGGGAGTCTGCTATCTTGAAGCAATAGTTGCCTAATTCCAATAGCAAGCCAGAAAAACGGCCGTTTGGTCTTTGCAGTGGAGTTTAATGAACCAAGACTCCTGCCAGGATTCTGTAAAGGAGGTCAGGATCTTTCAGATACCACTTCTCAGAACCTCGTGAACAGTAAATCCCTCCTAAAATGCAGAGCAGTGACAAATTTTGGTGTTTGTGCTTTTACAAACGTAGCATGTGCTTAAGAATAGCCTGATCATGAGATCGAGTACCTGCAGTGCCCCTCTGCTCGGCAGTTTCTGACTCCAGGTGTCAATGAAATTTTAGATGCTACAAGTCTCAAGATATTATGCATCCCAGGAGTGGGATTACTTGCATTCCAACACAATATTCCAAAGATAATCAAGCCAGGTTTCCAAAAATTAAAAGGTAACTTAATTATGTAAGAAGGGAAAGTTCCAAAATTGCAGATTTTCCTTCCCAACGGACATAGCTGCAACACATCAGATCCCTGGGCGAAGTGCTGCTGGAGTCCTCCGAAACGCCCTTTTGCTGGAGAGCAGAACCTCTGCTGGAAGGGTGCCGGGGGCAGCGGCGCTCCCAGCTGCCAGGCTGCCCTCCCCGCTGTGGTCACGCTCTTTGTTCTGCCTCTGCCAACTCGCTGCACACACCGCCCAGCTCCACAGACTTTCTGGCAGCCACAGTTCTTACATGAGAGGTCGTCGTCTGCTGAAAGTCTTGCAGACCTATCGGGTAGTACTGAAGATAACTTAGAATAAAATGTCTTTATAGTACCACAGAGTACAAAGTAGTTTCCTGCTACAGTTCTGCTTCTGGAATCTCTTTTCTCCACCTCTATCAGCAAAGACCTTTAACTCTCTGCCACAAGGTCTATAAATTCATCTGGAAGTGGAAAGAACGTGCCTGGTGCTGTGCACAGGAAGAGGAATTTCTGCTGAGCAAGTTTTGGGGTGGGGGTAAGAAGGCCGCTGAAAGCAGCCTGGCACTGAACTGAACCCAGGCAGAGTGCGTGTGTCAGGGCTGTGACCGAAAGAAAGACAAATGCCATCCCATGCTTTACTCTCTCCTACCTCTCTGCGACAGCAGGTGCTCACATACCACTGTGGTGGTAGGGATAGAGAAATCTGTATATCCAAATAAAGTTGCCACTCAGAGCTCTGTACCTCACTTTAGAGCAGGTTATTCAGCAAAGATGAAATACAATTCCAAAACAGATAAATTAACTCTTTTGCTGTATTAATATGTATTGGTCTGAACGTGTGATTCAATGTACGCATCCACCTAGGACACAACAGTAACTTGAACAGGTATTCATTCCTTCCCTTCCAAGTGCTGCTGTAAAAATCCAGGTCTCTTTCTTAAAATGCAGCTGCCAAGTGCTACATTCTGCCTTTATTTTCAGAGCTGTCAAGTTCCTCTATTCCTCAGGGGTCAGTGAAAGAAGTAAAGAGAACCCTATGCTCCCCCACTCCACTACTCTTCTTCCATTTCTGTGTAGAGAGAGTAAGCAGAGCTAAGAAGGTGGGACTCTGTGCTTACAGCCAGCGTTTTTATCCGTCTGCTCAGCCTGACTCACTGCAAACCTGCCCACCGAGAGCCAGAGCCAGCCCAGAGTCGCCGTTTCACACAACCCACCTAAAAGCAAAAGGCTCACTATCCAATTACTAATCCCTCAAAGCAATTTGCTGCTCAACATTTATCCAGTGCTGAAGTATCTTAGAACATGTGACTAATCCCGGCTTGTTTAAAACAGCATGCCGTTTTTCTACTTTGGGATAAATAAGACATTTGGAGTGAAAGAAATTGCCGTGCTAGGAGATCAAGTATCGTATGACCTTTCAGTGAAATTATCCCAAAGAGGAAGGCAACTAGGTTACACGGCAAAAGTGAACTTTTCGCTCCCCAAACGCAAGTCCACTGTTGCACCTCTAGATCTCAAATCCTGCACCCCAGGGCCACTCATTCCTCTTTCATTTCTTCAAAAAAACAAAACAAACCCTGCTTCTGAAAATCCTCTTCTGACTCTGGGTCTTGGGGACAAGCCACTGTCCTTGTCTGATTCCCTGTCTTTCCCTCTTCCCTGCCAAACCACCCAAACTCCAGACCCCTGCTCAGCACAGTGCACATCTTGCTTCTTGCTTTCTTTCCTCCCAGTCCCTAGACACCTCTTCTTCCTCCCGGCAGCAGCTCTCTTCAGTCACATCCCTACTGGCAAACACCATCCTGTCATCAGTCACCAGCAGGCAACGCAAAAGGAGAATGAGCAGTTCAACCAGACAGCTAAAAACCACTCTCCCCATCCCCAGGCTCCTTCAGGCTGCTCTGAGGAAAACGCTGATGCAAGATTCCCCTCCCAGCTGCTTCTTTGCTTTACTCCCCACTTCTCCATGGCACCATTACTGCAGCATCCTTACCCCAGTCGGTTGCTGTCCCGTGCAGGAGAACTCCCCACGCTTCAGCTGGCCTTCGCACACTAACATTTTATGGCGAGATAACTCACGCGCTGTGCAAGAGCGGCGGCACAGTAAAACACCGCACAGCCTTCGTGTAAGGTTAGCGTGAACGCAGCGTCAAGGTTGGGAAGCCAAGCACACCGGGGTCAGGGAAGGCAGAGCCAAGGCTGAAAGCTCAGCACTGCCTGGGCCACCTGGCCTCTGCACCCTGGAAAGGAAAAGGAGCTGCGTGCCGTGCTCAATACCTGTGTTCACAGGCGGCTCCTGGCTTGGCAGCTCGGTCGAAGCCAGCGGGGTGACGTGTGCTGGGCCTCGCAGGACGAGGCACACGCCGAGGCGAGCGGGGCTGGTGGCACGTGTGAGCGGAAAGCAGGCACCAGAGGAAAAGGAGCAGACAAGCGCAGAAATGAGTCTGCTAGTAGAAATCAGTCATCGGTCGCAACGCTGTCACCTGCAAACCAAGTCATAGTCGCACTAGAAATGAGACTCAGCAGTATGAGGAACAAACTCCGAAGTAACTCTCTAGAGGAGATAGTGGATCAAACCCATGAGCTTGCCCCAGAAGTGCTCTGACAGCCCAAAATCCCAGGGATGTGGATGCTTGGGTGTGGACCGAGGCTGTTCAGTAAAGGCGTCAGTAACGTCCACTCGTATCACACGCTGCCCTGGTATATTCACTACGCAAATGCCTGTTCTGATACGTTCGCTCATGGCTCAGTGTCAAACGGTTGGAAAGGGCAGCCGCTCTCTTCTGGGATACCCTGGCAGGACTCGGAGCAGGGAGTTACCCAATTTCCTGATGCTCCTCAGGCGTCTGTTGGCTCTGCTTACAGAGCCCGGCTGATCAATAGCCCATCCCTGGGAGAGCCGGGGAAGCACCTCTCCTGCTTAGCACCAAAAAAGGTATAGGACTCACAAAGGGGATCTCTCTGCCTCCCCCCATGCCAAGCACCCACAGCTCCTAAGGCGGATCTCTGCCCGGCCGCAGTGGAAACGCCTGGCACAGCCCTCAGCCAACATTCCCAGTGCAGTGGCCGCCAGCCCTCCGGATCACCAGACTGCTTCTCGGCTTTGCTTGCCAAGTTTAACTCTAGAAGGACCCGGGGAAAACATCACTTCTGCACAACTGAAATACTTTCACAGCCATACTGCAAACTCTCAGCTGCCTTCTGTCTGTCTGTGCAATACCTCCCCAAAATTCTTGTTTACCTAATAGTCAGCTTCATTGAAGACATGAGGGGACTGATTTAATATCCATGGAAACACAAAAACCTTATTTGTGTTCTAGTCGCGTTTCCCTCGTGGATAATACAGCGCTAATAATGCTTTAATAAGCAGAGCCCAGCTCGGTGCGAGCACAAACTGCAGTTTTCTCTCATCAGAAAGTCAGAGCATCCTGTTTTATTTCTTGAAACATCTGTCTCTGGAAAAGTTTGCTCTGATGCTCCTGGAATTTTATAACCATACCTTCCCCTTATAGAATTCAGATGACTGACCCATGTGCAACCCTGGTCCACCACAGAAAACTCTTCACATATGTTGAGATCAGATATATAAAAAAAGGTCAAAGTTTAGCTGGATTGCTGCAGGCATACCACTCTTAAATCATAACTGCTTTCACATCTCAAAAGCAACAGAAAATGGGAACTGAAGAGCACAGCAGCATACAGCAAACAAACTCTCCCTGTGCTCCACATCAGGCTGATCAGACTCCAGCAGAACAGCCTGCCCGCTGCTAGGAACTCTGGAAAATCTCTCCCCAAGTGTTATTTGTAAAACCAGAGGTATAAATCACGTTAGGAAACCAGGGGGGGGAGTGGACAGAGATGCAGAAAGTGTTGGCTTTTGTGGGGTAGTGAACAGATACCCTTTGAGAAGGGAGAGCGCCCAGCCCACACACGTCTTGCTGCAAAAGGGCAAGAGTGCCTTGGAATGTGCTTAGAGCCAAGATCTGGCTTTGTATGGGCAGGGTGTGTCTTTGTTAATGAAAATCATGATAAAGAGCGAGAAAAATAAACAATGCAATTCCCTGAAAATGGCCAGTACATCCTGCTAAGTGTACAAGCCTGTACTGAGCTTGCAGCAAGCCGAGCCGAGGATCTGCTGCACGTTTTTACCTGCATAATGTTCCTGCTACTGCAAAGTTATGTTTTATGAGGAAGGTTTTGCCTGCCTTGGTATTACCTGAGTGCTGCAGAAGGCAGATATCATGGCAAGCAAAAGTTTCAATATATTCTCTTCCAAAGTCCCCTAATACCACAAAAAAAGGACTATGTCAGGTTACTAGGGATAAGCACTGGGCATTTCCAACACCCTGGGAACAGTCTTTCTCCACCAGTCTCACATACTAATTGCAGAGAGATGGTGAATACAGCTATTTCCCTCCCCCTTAGCAAAGAAAAATAAAGGAGAGATTAATATGGAACCGTATTAACTTAATTATCAGCCATTTATTCTGCTGCTGTTGAGCTGCCACAGTCAATGATCTTTCTGAAATAAACCAAAACGGTGAAATTTGCAAGTTCACTGTGCAAGTATGGATCTACCCTAAAGAGGTTCAAGGCTTCCAAGAAATCAACTGAAATATGGCAGGAGGATTTATACTGTACGTCATCTTTTTTATTCACGAAGTATCAGCATAGGCAGCAAGTCGTACCGATAAACCACTGCCTCTTGTCTTTAAAAGCCTGCTTTCCTGGCAAGAACACCGAGAAGAGGAACTTATAAAGCCATTCCAACAAGCTGGAATTCAGAAGAAAGGTGCATTTTCTTCAACATTCGTGAAACTTGCTTTACTTCACAAATCCTAAGAACTAGGAAATTGGGATCTTGATGCATGGCTATGAAAGCGCTGGAGTTAGTGCCGGAGAAGCCTGGAAGTTAGTGCCCACTGACTCCCAGAGGTTGGGATCTGCGGACACAGGAAGCACTCAGGACCAGGGCGAGCAGCAGTAGGCTGGCAGCACTCAGCAACAGGCCGGAAGAGTTTCCAGAGCTGGATGAAGAATCTTCTGGCTGCCCTCCAAAACCCAGCATGAAAACCAGGGCTCAGGGGTAACATGTTATTTTGTGTACTTCTGCTTACAGAACTTAGTAAGTCCTACGGGTAAAAGCCGTCAGGACCATAAATTTCAGCTCACACAGTGCTTTCTGCTTGCAGAGCTTAAAACGGTTTGCAAATCTTTTTCGAGATGGTAAAAGGAAGTTCAAAGCACCAAAATAAGTTCTCCAACCTCACACAACCACTTACAATGGCACTGTGGCTAGAAATTAATCTTCTGGCCAGAGCCCCCAGAAGGGAGTATCCTCCTCTGACCGCATCCATTACCGTTTCAATTAATAGATTACCATGCAGCCCATGCCAAAAGGAAACAGAAAAAGTTGTCAAGTAACTTTGTGTGGAAAAAAAACTGTCAGCAAAGCACAAAATGACTGGCAAAAGCTAATGAAACAGGATGGAGGAAGACACAGGACTGCAAGACCTTCTGATTAAGAGCGCAGACCCCACCATGGCATAAAAGCACATCTATAAGTATCAGTTAATGCCCTGCCTCAGCCCCCCAGCAGTGCCTGCTGCAGCCCCAGGAAGGAATCCTTCTCTCTGAAAGAGCAGAAAGTAGACAAGCCCAGGAATAGAGATCACAATAGTACTTAAGAGTTGTTAAGAGCGAAATCACTGAAGCCTGAGTAATTTGCAACTTAACAGGCATTTAAATATAGCCCCACATAAAACCAACTGTGAATAAACCAGAACATTTGTGATTTATCGATCTTGCCATTTAAAAAAATACAGACTATGACCAGTAGATCACTGAAGTACTCACCGACACAGAGACATCCTCTATTTTTCTTTTAGCGCTGGAGTCAAATAAGACATTCCGTCCTCTTCTTTCGCAGTCCTGATACACGATCAGTCGGATCTGACTCGGGTCAAACTCCGGCAAAGGCCAGCTTTAATCAAAAAACAAAGAAGCAGAAAGATCAATCACCACGATTCTTGGTTACACTGTTCTTTCTGTATTATGTGTATATGTTACTTGATTAAAACAAAGTGCAATGCCATTTCATTTGCAGCCACAGGTTTTCAGCCTCATGGGTTGGCAAAGCACTGAACTCCACAGCTGAAAAAATGCAAAGTACCTGTCCTACCCCTCTTCAGGTTTCACAGCGTAGTAACGCACGTGTATAGAACTGGCTGCACTGTTACACACTACAACCTTCATACTAAAACATGTGCTTTGACGCTGGGGAACAGAGCCACGTGTAGCTTGGTCCTGACTACACACTCAGGTCCTCGCTACATCCAGACTTAGAAATAATCTCCACTTAAGCCACTGTGGTTCAAGGCCACGCTGCTGCATGGGTCAGCAACACACATACTGCAGTCTTAACACACCTATTCCCAAACTGGTTTTGCAGTCAGAAACAAGGAAAGGAGCTTTCCTGAGTCCCTGCCTTCCCCAGTGCTGCTGACTTGAGAGAAGCTCTGCAAAGGGAGAGCTTCCAGGGCTCAGGTCGGAATACCAAAGCATAACCTTAGCTTCAAGGGTGCTTTGTAGCCATCATCTTAAATTTCCATTTTAAAAAAATGCCATCACTTTAAAGCCCAGCAAGCATTGTTGCCCATGGAGTTAGGAATCCATCTTCAGTTCTTGGAAGATAGGAAACAAGATGCCTGCTCTATCCATGAAACCAACAGGAATCATCTTTCAGCCAGTTACGAGCCATTTCCTAGATCAACTGAAATCCTATCTTCCTTATCCTTGGCTTTTAGGCAAGCAGGGTTAGCATGAAACCCCAAGAAGTGAGAAACGAGGCCCTGGAAGTTTCCAGCCATTAATGACAGATACAGGCTCCCAGTTTACAAGGAGCTGTACATTTATTTCAGCAGAAAGACACCCATGTGTGATAATACAGATTAAAGTAAACCTGGCATGCTAGATTCCAAGACTGTGGTAAATCTTCCTCCCCTGTGTCGCTCTAATTCATCAACTAAAGGCTTCCTTGACTGCTCCCATGCTTTGTGACCAGTACACTCGTGTGTAACCCAACAACTTCTAGAATAGGGCGTAGCAGAGATCCGTTTGATCACCAAAGCAGTGGTTGCCTATCAGAAGTTTTTAAGACTGTCCAATATAGATTCAGAGGCTTTACACCTAGTGTAGTCCCAGCGAGGTGAAAGTAAGCATCAAGACATACAGTTATTCGGTGCCTTGAGAGGAAATCCATTTCCTAATCTGCTCAGCCCCACCGTTTAGCAACAGGAGAGGAAAAAGAGAAGCTGCAGAGAAGAGAGTGTGCAACAAATGCCAAAAGCAACTTATTACAAGAAGAAAGTTTGAGCAACCTGAAACTGAAATAACTTGACGCGTGGATCTGGGGGCAAAGAGCTGCGCGCTCTCTGAGGGACATGCCCACGCGCAGAGCGGCCTGCAAACCCAGCAAGTTCTACCCAAAACCACGCACGGTGACAACCTCAGCGCAGAGCCTGCACCACCGGGGGTTCTGCTAATAAGCTCCACCTTGCATCTCAGAAAACGTTAAGAAATACGTACTGTTTGATGCCTATTTGGAGTGTTACCGAGAAGCTGAGGCACCAGAGCCGGGGAGGGTTTCAGGAGAGCCTGACTCTGGCTGGAGGTGAGGACGCAAGCGAGGCCGCTGGATAAGCTGGCCTCCATTCACCTTATGGTTAAGCAAAACCAGTGGAAGTCTGGAAACTCATTTTGTTTCCAGAGAGGCCACTGTGGCTCCTATGAAGAAACAGCAGGTGACCATAACAATGAACTGCTTGCCAAAAAGGTGCGATCGCTTGCTCGGCCCTCATAACGCAACTGAACTTCCTTCACACTCCGACAGAAGCATGTCTTCCATTACCTAGTACTTTTGATATCTGACTTAGAAATTACCGGCAAAGAAGGACAGTAGCTGTTCCACATCTTAGGAAAGTCTACTTATAAAAAGCTCCAAGAGCAGATTACACACTAAGAGGAGAGAAAGCTAAATATAAAACTCCTGCTGTATTCAGAAACATATTTGATGGGGGTAACAAGAGCTTGTTTACTTCGCAGCTTCTTCACATGACATTTTAAACTTTCTCTAGACAAGCGTTTAGTAGATATTATCCATTATAATTTGTCGTAATTCCAAACAAGCGTTATCTCTGTTACATAACAGAGCCCTTAAGCACATTTCAGCCTTGCAAAAACATTCCCTGGCAATAGTGGGCCACTTCCCAAACCAGCAGAAACTTTAGGAGAGCTGGGGGAAAGTTCATTTAGACAGACAGTAAACAGAGGCAGGCTGGCACCTCCAGCTCGCCCCCAGCCAGGCACATTTTTCTGGAGGAAGAGAGACACAGCATAGCTTTGCTGTGGTTAGCAGCTTTAAAATACCGTTAAGCTCGATATCTGGATAGATTATCCCCAGATATGTACCGATTCCTGCGTGTACTACACGGGGCACGTTCTCCGAACAAGTGTAACAGGGCAATGCTCCAGCACAGTTCTTCAGGCAGATGAAAACTGACCTAGATCTTCTGAATATAATTAGTTCTGTTTATAAATGGAAACCAACTTTGACATTTAACTGATGTTTTCCTGAGATTCTTATAGGAAAACCAGGAGACAGAATCAGATGTTGTAGCGATGTTAATGAAAGGTGAGGCTCCATCTCCCATGCTGTTCTGGAGGTGACGGTTCTCTTAACGAGGACATTTTCCTGCATGATGATCTACCACTCTTTGATCTTTCCTTGAAACTCATTATATTTAAAGAAAAACAAAACCAAGCCCAGAACAAACAAACAAGCATAAGAACCACCAAGAAAACCCCAACAATCTTTTCACCAGCAGAAGCGTTTGTGACTTTGTACGAAGTTAGGGCTGTGAGTTCACGTGTCGAGCAAGAGAAATAGTGATAAATTACTTCTGACACCAGACCTGTGGAGATCTCCACCACACAAAACAGCAATTCCTCCAGACTGAGATGTTCTGAAATACCTATATGAGTGGAATGTGACAGAAATCCACTGATGTATAAATGCTGTGATAGTTAAGAAACAAGCCATGTAAAACCAGATCTCACGCAACCACAGACTGGTTGAGGCTGGAAGGGATCTCTGGAGGTCACCTGGTCCAACGCCCCAGTACAGAGACCAATGGGAGTACAAAGCATGAAAGGGAAGGAATTACTTGGGACAAAAAGGCAAACTTCTCCTCCTCCTAATGAAATCAAGGCCTGAAAAACAGTGTTTTAATGCATGTTCACACTTAAGTCCGACTGTTGTCCAGCTCTTCTCTTTTACCCGTTTTGTTTTCCTGCCCTTTTTACCTTCAACCACTAGGAATGTTATCTGTAGTTTACATTTACAGATCCATTACATGCCTCCTGACACCCATACTGCAAGCTGTATGGCACTCCAGAACTCCAAATGCTCTCCAAGGATGGTTTCTCACGTATCTGATTTCTGGGGTTTATTACTGCCATAGACATTTCTTGGCAAGAGGCAACCAAATGGCCTTAAAGTTGTATTATTACACTGTGCAAGTTCTAATAGATCAAATGGCAAACATAGAAATCCTTCGTTAGCACTCCATCAATTAAAATACAAGTTTTTTCCCTGTAATTGAAAACAAACACATTCCTTCCTCGTTTCCACTACAACACGAACAGCACTTCTCATGGCATTAAAGGTTCAGCTTGACAGAGATTTTCCTCCTGCCCCAGACTTTACTTTTAAAACTATTTCACATTAACACAGCTTAGATAGCACCCAACTGCTTTTTAATAATTAACACACAGAGATATTTTAGAAGTCTTAAAGAAAAGCAACTGAAGCAAACTGGTCAAGATATTCAGCAGGTTGGAATTGTAAGAGTTTGATAAAAGGTAAAGCAGCTCAAAACCAGAACATGACTAATCATTGAAAAAGTAAGTTGAAACTATCAGTCAAACTATTGTTTTCCTACATCATGTTACCCATAGTTATAAAAACTGCCTGGTGATGAATCACTTCGAACTATTTTTAAACGCATCTACGCAAATTATATTTATAGTTTATGCTAGCTTATCTGTTCTGCGTGTTTTTCATGTTAGCACCTTTTTAAACGGCTGACAGGAACAGGCAGGGCAGCGCAGGCTGCAGACCCACCTTGCCCCGTGCCCTCCTCACTCGGCTCTGCATGGGAGGACCTGTCTTTCTTCACGCTGTTAGCTGAGCATCAGAGCAGAGGGATCCCAGTGCCTGCCCCGGCTCCCACAGACGATGCTCTTCATGCATCATTGTTGTTTTGGTGGTGCTGACCCAGCCCACCTCTACAGGAGCGCGGCACAGCCTGTCCCTGTCTCGACGAGCTTTCGCTGGACCTGCGAGACCATTCCACTGGGTGCACTGGGATGCTCCATAGGTGGATCATCTCCAGATTCCACGGAGATGTTCATTCTCACTGAAGCATGATCACCTGCACATACACAGCCCAGTAGTAGTTGGGATCCTGCGGTTGTTTTCTTGTAGGGAAGGGTGATCAGAAGCAGAAGGAAAACGGTTCTTGCCTCGTCCAACCATCACATCATACACCTCTCACCCCTGACTGAAATGCTTTTTCCAACAAGGGGTTCCCTTCTCCTGCCCAAATTCCTGTGTTACTGCATTTCTTTTTCTCTCGGCTTTGGGAAGATACAACCAAAGTTGAGTATATAGAACACGTGGGGAGGGTACTGCACATATCTTAATTCTTCCTCAATTCAATAAGTCACTTATTATTTGACCATTATTGTACCCAGACAGCTGTGTAGAGCTTTCTGAAAGACAATAACTAACTTGGAAGCAATGAAAACAGCAATGTACAGCATGGTAATGATGCTTCCGGCTTTGGAAGACCACCCATTGGCTTTTTTTAACAAGGCATGGGCAGGTTATCTGTTTTTTTTAATAATAATGCTCGAAACGCA